GACTAAGTTGTTCATAACTAGTCCTGTTTATTCAGATATAATGTTAGGTCTTGTTTAGGTTTTATGTCTGTCTTTGAATTTTGACTTTTAAAGTGATTTTATTCATTTTTAGTTTAGTCGAACTGATGATGGAGCTGGACTCCGAAACGTTTTCAATATCGATATGGTGAATTTTCTTGGCGTTTTCTTTGCTTTTAAATTCCTTGTGAAATTGTAAATATTGATAGAATGCGAACTGTGCAGCAATATTTGGCATTAAATATTCACTTCTCCGTAACAGATTCTAAATATTGATTGAATGTGAACTTGATTTAACAATGAAGATCTGACAATACAGGCGGACGCACGCAAGGAGAAGCTGCTGGACTCGTACGACTTGCAGCGCTTCTTGAGCGACTACCGCGACCTCAGCTCCTGGATACTCTCAATGATGGGACTCGTGAGCTCAGACGAGCTCGCTACTGATGTCACTGGTGCAGAGGCGCTGCTTGAAAGACACCAGGTGTGTTATCATTTATTGCCATTAAAAACATAGATACTGCTCACCTGGCCTCACCATGGTCTGCGTCAAATGCGTCGCTATTCATAGGGTGTTACAGTTTTTACTGTCCTTGTAACGCAGTGCGATCAATTTCAGTACTGTTTCAACAACTTGGAAATGACTTCTCGACTTATACATTCACGCTTTGGCACTATATTCATAATATGATCCTATTAGTATCGTGAAAACCTAGGTATATCAAATGCAATAACTGGCTTGAAGTTTGCATCGTTTCCTTGCTTGATTATAAATATTCCCATTTTAGTAAATAGTAGAGGATGTACCATTTTTATCAATTCCAGCAATGCATCTGTGCAAATGAGTGTTGCAATATCAAGTTCTTAATGGTTTCTCACTAATGATCGCCTAACTAGTCACTGGGTCCTAACTAATTGAGTTATGAAAGCGTCATAATCTTCAGCTTTCATTTCCAAAAAGATGCTCTAGTTACCAAAGCTAATGATGTTCTATGTTGGAAGTAAGGGACATCAATTCATGAGGCATTGATTACTTGGATATGTCTAATTTTTGGGCTCGGTATGTTTTTTTCTAGAGTTTCCGCTCGGAGTTTGATACTCGCTACGGAGTTCCTCAGGTACAACGCTGCGTTTACTGGCAGCCTCCCCATTCGTGAATTGATGTTTTGTGTTGTGCTCAACCGAGAATTTATTGTGCGTTCATGGCACTCACATGTTTTTATTGCTTATTTATCCTGTACATACGTTACTTAGATTAACTCACTCTTTCAGTCTAATATAATTCACCTCTTTTGCGTAGCTTTGCTCTTCTCCATTTCGCCATAAATATAACGCCGAAAGATTGCTTCCTTCAAGATTTCCACATTACATTACTGATGAAACAGTGAAGAATTCTTGCGCCAAAGAATCTTTGTAATGCGCGAAATCGTTTTTGTTGATGTATATTCATTCACATTTATAACATTTAATAACTAACTTATCATCATTGTAAAGGCATTTACACTTACCGATGTTGAACCTTGAACTCCTTGTTAATTCTATATTTCTGGTCATTAAGTACTCTGCATTCTCCTCTGAGCCTCAGAACTAATAGTGCGTATATCAGCTCCATGATCACACTTACTTACTGTAGAAAATGTAAGATTCTTTTGGGTGGATAATAATGTGTAATTAGTTTGAGATTCACGGTCGTTGTCCCTAATTAATTTTTTCCCTGTTGTTTCCATGCAAAATTTGTAGGCTTAATATTTTTCTCCAGGCTAACTGATGAATTTTCTCTTACAGATGGTTTCTTAAGTTTTATTTGCATACTTTTTTAAATTCATCAACTTGTTCCGTGATATTGGTCTTAGTGCGGTCAACTCAATGTTTAAATTTCAATTCATATTTATCCTCGCGGAAATTATGTTATTGAAGATCTCTTAAACATTTTCTGATAGCTGATGTTCAGCAATTGATAATGTTTTTTCCTGAACTGTGATTAACCAAGTTTTCACTAACTTCTGGTTGGTGTGAGACTTCGTAAACGCCATTTATTCTCTATAATTATTGCTTTTATTGTAATTTTGACCTCACTGTAGCTTTCCATGACTCCTTCATTCAAGGACAATCCTTCTCGAGTTAGTCATTTCGGTCTGTATTGAGAAGTCTTTTTGAACTTGATTATCCATGCATATCAATTTCTCCACCAGCTCCTGATATTTGTACATTTGAATGCTCAGAAAGAGCAGTCGTGCTCTGCAGCATAGCCACTACATGGTGATCACAATTACTTTACTACTATTTTTATATCCAAAACTGTGGCACCGTATTTCTTATTTTCATAATCATCACCGCCTCCATTTGGTTTCCAAGCTAACCGATTGTTTTATGTGACCCAGGAACACCGCACCGAGATCGACGCCCGCGCCAACACGTTCCATGCCTTCGACTTGTTTGGCCAGCAGCTGCTCGAGAGCGGCCACTTTGCATCTGCTGAGGTGCAGCAGAAGCTCGACGATATGAACGACGCTCGACAGGAGCTCGAGCGGTAAGAGGGTTCAGCTGGTTGTTTAAATAAGTGCTTTGCCAATAAGTGGTTGTTCAGCTGGTGGCCGAATATAATAGTCTCTTAAATAGTGGCCTCATAAACCTCAAGTACCCGAGTAACAATGGTATCAATTGACGCAGTCGTCTAAAGGTACATACACGTAGATCGAATGCGGTACCACACGCTCGGTCCATCCGCTGTTACACACTTGACTTTGCTCTTTGTGGCTATCCTGTCCTGTCCTTATCAAGCCGGGACCGGGCAAGACATGCTGTTGAAATAAAAGTTCAATCCCTATCATGCAAATCATTAATTATAAATGATGATTTTTTCATATTTTTTAATCTTTTATTTCAATTACAGTGCATGGATTGCACGTCGCATGAAGCTGGACCAATGCTTGGAACTGCAGCTGTTCTACCGCGACTGCGAGCAAGCCGAGAACTGGATGAGCTCTCGCGAGGCTTTCCTGTCCTCGGACGAGCCTGATGCCAAGTCTGACAACGTCGAAGCGCTCATCAAGAAGCACGAGGACTTCGACAAAGCCATCAACGCTCAAGAGGAGAAGATCGCGGCTCTTAATCTTTTCGCCGATCAACTTATCGCAGCTGAGCATTACTCAAAGAACGACATTGCGGATAAACGCGCCGATGTTCTCAATAGGTGGCAGCATCTGAAGGAAGCTCTCATTGAGAAACGCTCCAAGCTTGGGGAGTCCCAGACGCTGCAGCAATTCTCAAGGGACGCTGATGAAATTGAGAACTGGATTGCCGAAAAATTGCAGGTACTGTATGCTAGCTTGCTTGACGGGAGTCAATTATTTCCTGTGTAACCTCCATGATGTTCTTGATTATTGTTATATTAATTTTCTCTAAATCTGTTTTAAAAATTTCAATATATTAGTCATGAAATATTGAAGGTTAAAAACTTTGGAGGTTTGACAGAATTTGTAGTCTATGCTGGTTGAAACATTGATATGCAACCTACGGATTCCTTTATTTCAGGTGGCAACTGAAGAAAGTTTCAAAGATCCTGCTAACATTCAGTCGAAGCATCAGAAGCACCAGGCGTTCGAGGCTGAGCTGGCAGCAAATGCTGACAGGATCCAGGCGGTAGTGGCCATGGGCCAGAACTTGATCGACAAGCACCAGTGCGCAGGATCAGAGGAACCTGTTCACCACAGGCTTGAGTCTCTGGCTTCTCAGTGGGAGGTGCTCACCCAGAAATCAGCTCAGAAGAGCCTCAAGCTGAAAGAAGCTAACAAGCAGCGCACTTTCATCGCTGCTGTCAAGGATTTGGACTTCTGGCTTGGAGAAGTTGAGTCGCTCTTGACGAACGAAGATGTTGGAAAGGATTTGGCCTCTGTGCAGAATTTGATGAAGAAGCAACAGCTTGTGGAAGCTGACGTGCAGGCCCATCAAGACCGCATTAATGACATGAATGCTCAAGCTGACTCTCTAATTGAGAGTGGTCAGTTTGACACGGCTAACATCAACGAGCGTCGCTCAAGTATCAACGAGCGTTACGAAAGGATTAGGAACCTTGCAGCACACCGCCAGGCTCGCCTCAACGAGGGCCTCACATTGCACCAGTTCTTCCGTGACATTGCTGACGAAGAGTCGTGGATCAAGGAGAAGAAGCTGCTTGTTGCTTACGACGACTACGGCCGTGATCTCACTGGCGTCCAGAATCTGCGCAAGAAGCATAAGCGTCTTGAGGCTGAGCTGGCGAGTCACCAACCTACCATCGAGGCTGTACAGGAAGCCGGCGAGAAGCTCATGGATGTTAGCAACGTGGGAGTGGCTGAGATTGAGGCGCGTCTGCAGCAGCTTGGCGAGGCTTGGGATCAACTCAAAGCAATGGCCAATCAGCGCGGCGAAAAGCTCGATCAGTCGCTCATTTACCAGCAGTTCCTCGCAAAGGTAGACGAGGAGGAAGCCTGGATCAGTGAGAAGACGCAGCTTCTCAGCGTGCCGGACTACGGCGACAACATGGCTGCTACCCAAGGCCTCCTCAAGAAACATGATGCATTTGAGACGGACTTCTCTGTGCATCGTGATCGTTGCAATGGAGTCTGCGAGGATGGCAATAAATTGGTGCAGGACGGCAACCACCACCACGATGCCATCAAGCAGCGTTGCCAGCAACTCAGAGATAACTTGGATCAGCTCTCAAACATCGCTGCTCGCCGCAAGAGCAAACTCTCTGACAATCTGGCCTACCTTCAGTTCATCTGGAAGGCCGATGTTGTTGAGTCATGGATCGCGGAAAAGGAGTCTTACGTCAAGTCCGAGGAATTCGGACGTGATTTATCAACCGTGCAGACCCTCCTCACCAAGCAAGAAACTTTCGATGCTGGTCAGTTTTATTCATTTAGGAAAACCTTACGGTATTTTAGTGTTGGTCTTATTTTTAAGCGGAGGAGAGAATTATTTGATTCCGTTTTTAAGCAATTCGATTATCAACCTAGTTCCTCTCCATTCTTTTGACAGCTCATTGTTGATTGTTCCGGCATTTTGCCGGTATTTGCATTTGCCGGTATTTGCTTTCTTGCATTTTGTTCCGGTAAAGGCAGTGTTAACTAGTTTCGACATGTGATTCTGGTCTCCAAGGTCAGCGTAGTGTGGTTTTCGTTTGTGTAGATGAGAGTTTATGATTTGAATTATTTATTCTCTGTTAGGATGAAGATAACAGTATCAGGAATATCATGACTTGTCCACTCAATAAATGTTGCACGAGGAGCTTTCCTGTGTGACAACATAATTGTTCAGTCCAATTCTTTCAGCAAATAATTTTTAGTCTTTTCATGCCTAATAAGTGGTCTTTCTTTCATTCACCTGATTGGACGTTTATTTGTTTGGCCTTTCGCCTGTTTGCTTGGAGTGTGAGAAGTCACGAGCAAGCGCAGTTCATTTTTAAAGCGTGCATTTCTCAGGTCTGGGTGCGTTTGAGTCTGAAGGCATCCTGAACATCACGGACCTGAAAGACCAGCTCGTGTCTAGCAATCACGAGCAGTCGGCGAGCATCGTGAAGCGTCACGGTGATGTTATCGCTCGCTGGCAGAAACTCATGCACGATTCTGCACAACGAAAGAACAGGCTTCTGATCATGCAGGTAAAGCGTTACTGCCAGGCAGCTTCTGATTTCAGTCACAATTCGGTATTTGAAATTAGTAAAGGTATTTCATTTTAAATGCGGTATTTGCTGATCTTAGCTAATTTGAATAATCTCTTGCACCATTTTCCAATAAGAATCTAAACATGCATTGCTTTTGAGAGATCATCAATTTTCTAATTTCAATAGAAGTGCAACTTCTGTTGGTAATGGATAACAGTTTCCTGAAGCTCTAGCTAGCCATCCAAGCAGCGTGTGGAAAATCCTATAGATTATTCGAAAAATTGTGTTGTCATACAGTTTATTTGGCAAGTTTTCACTAGGCATGAAGTATAATGTATCACTAATATTCGTCATTGTTCGCACTGCAGGATCAGTTCCGTCAGATCGAAGAACTGTATCTCTCGTTTGCCAAGAAAGCCTCTGCCTTCAACTCCTGGTTTGAGAACGCAGAAGAGGACCTTACCGATCCTGTGCGCTGCAACAGGTGCGGTGTTTTGTCTTGCAAATATTTCTTATTTATTTTAGGGCTATAAAAATACTTTTTAGAAGATCTACTCAATAACAGAAAGTAGAAAGAACTAACTGGCTTTTTATCAGGTTTTTGATCCAAGTTATAATTTATTTCACGTGGTAATTTCGTGCTAGTGATGTCAATCGAGCTTTATTTGGGCACCCCTCAGGGGGGACTTGTGACGTGTGTCTGTGCTCGTCAGAAGTCCTATGGGATTTCGCGCTCCTAGGGGGATTGTTCCTGAGTGCCCCACCGCTGAGCTCGCGGTGTCTGACTGTAGGTCTCAGTTGTGGGGTTAAGTTATTATGTAGGTAGGATTACACCTCTATGGTGATGTTCATCTTGACTTTCGGTGCGAGATAGCTAAATAGCTGAAGCGCTAGTAAACATTTGGCCACTAAACTAACTAAACTAAACTTATTTGGGCATCCGTCGAGTCTTTGTCTTGTATTTCATCTAGCATATTTATGCCTCGCCATATTCTATTGTGTATCATTTTTAACCTAGATTACACAATTTTCCATTAATGTCGACTGAAACCCGTTGCAGCATTGAAGAGATCCGGGCCCTGCGCGAGGCTCACAACCAGTTCCAGAGGTCTCTGAGCACCGCCCAGGCTGACTTCGAGGCCCTCGCTGCCCTGGACCAGCAGATCAAGAACTACAACGTCGGCCCCAACCCATACACTTGGTTCACCATGGAGGCTCTCGAGGACACGTGGCGCAATCTCCAGAAAATAATCAAGGTGTGTGTAATGGTTTAAGGCATTCCAGTGTATGCATATGATCATCAGATGCAAAGAGTTAACGTATGTCTATGTGATTTTAGGAAGCAGATTAGAAAAATCACCGTTAATCGGTATTACCAGCGTTTCAGTAACTGGCCGGTACGTGAAAATAAGCACTGTGTTGCCGTTTTTATTCCAATTTCACACTAAAACCCGTGTAACATCTGAAAATACAGCAAAACGGTTTATTTACACAGGACGGCTGGTTATTAGAACGCTGGTAAGACTGTTTTTCACCCTTTTTTTCAAACAATGTAGCGTGTTAGAATTGAATGTGCTTATTACTCATTTCATGTACTCGGATCAAGCGCCTAGTAGGATTTGATCAATATCTTCATAATAATTATTTAGGATTGCAATACATTTGATTTTAAATTAATCGTGCACTTGAATTGGGCAGCCAATTTACTAAGATTCTCCAAGCGATACTATGGATTCTTACCTTTTCCCATCTTTTGGTGCTTCATTTGATGACTTATATGAGGAAGTGGAAGATCTAATTTAGAATGTGGAAGATCGGTTCTCTGGAAAGCGACAATGTCCTGATGAAAGACGCACGGCCTGCGGAAGACGACTGATCTCAGCTGTTAGGTGCGTCTCTTACTGCACATTATCTTTACAGGAGCGAGATGTGGAACTGGCGAAGGAAGCTCAGCGCCAGGAGGAGAACGACAAGCTGCGCAAGGAGTTCGCCAAGCACGCCAACAGCTTCTACAACTGGCTTACTGAGACCAGGTCAGTGCTGCTCCAATATCCCATCCCCAGCGGAGTTAGAAGTAAATAGAATAATAGTCTCTATTTACGAAATAAAATTTGTACTCCTATGATTCCTATAAAAGTTTATTTTCAATGGACACATATGACGCGCTAATGGATGCACATCTCTCAGCTCCCATGCATGTTTCTTCCTTGATGGTAGATCTTTGCATCGGCTGCCTGGTTGTTCAAACGTTTAGCATGCGCTCGTTAAAATTATCTCTGCAACTTATTTCAGAACTCGGGTTTTAATGAAATTCTGTTGAAAGAGCCCCAGTCTGTGAAAATAGTCTATGTAGAGCCGATCTTTTCCTGCCCAAGATGAGAATTTATTTTCATTGTTTCAAACATTCTTTGGTTTGAAAATAAATATTAAAGACAACGAAGTGTGAATGTTATGCCCTACTGCCCACCGCGAGGAAATGTGGCATGTTTATGATAATGATACATTTCATGGAAATTGTAGAATGTATCTTTGCCCTAGCTATGTTACCGCTTAAAATTGTGTGTACAAGCACTACCATTTTGTGTGGAACAAATCGTATCAATTTCGGTTTCTCGTGCTCACAAACTTAAAAGTTGTACACTTGAATATGCGGTGCTGTTTGAATATAGGAGTCATTTCAATGAACTTGTCTTCACCGAAGAATGAAGGCATTTTTGCTATGGGTGTTTTTGTTTTTATTGAGTATGCCCCGGATCTGCTTATTGTTTTGTCATGCCTTAATGATTTGTATTATTCATACTTAAATTACAAATACTTGGAGAAATTTTGCCACAGTTTCCTTCTATGTCGGCAACATCACGTCGCACAATCTTATCTGGTCAATTCCTTGAGAGTGATCACCATTGATTAGTAGCAGGATGTCTCGTCAGCCTAAAAAATACATTAGTTTCACCGCTCTCACAATAAAACGACTTTTTTAATGAAGCTTTAAATATGGGTTCAACATACTATTAGTATTTTGAAATTGAGCCTGCAGGCTTATGCAAAACGAGCCACGGTGCATTTCTTTCTGGTTGCACTTAGCACAAACTAGCGTGACGGAATCCTATTCTTTCATCAGGAATTTTCTATAAGTGTTTTTTGAGTTCTAAGAGGTTCTGGTATTTTTTTGGAATTGCTAGAGCTCTTTAGGTTAGGTGTTTCATTTTTATGCATACACTGTACCAATTTTTTCGTTGTTTGTCATTATCACCCTGAGTTATTGAGCCATAAAGTTGTTCACGGCTTGACGTATCCCGTTTCCAGGTTCTCCCTCCTGGGCTTCACCATGCTGGGCTATGATGCAAGGTTACTTGTGTGACTCTTTGTATTATTATTCTCTAACTTCCTTATCAATTTCGTCTTTTACCATTCCTTTGCTTCCTATCTCTATAGAGTTTAGGTTTATCTTTTCACTGTTCTCATCCGGTTTTCGTATTATTTCGTCTTTGCCTGTTCTTGTTCTTTATACTTCACTAAAATAGAGTGAAGACGTAAAAAGTTCTTTTTGTATCCTCATACTCGTCATTTAGAAAGAGTTGGTTGCTATTTTTATTTGTTTCGTTTCCGTTCATTTATCCTCAGCTCCAATTTTTATATTTTATATGTATACATTTACATATTACTTCAATAATTTTCTCTTCCATTTTATACGTATCTGTATATCTCTGTCCAGCAGTCCAGCTCATATTTTCTTTCTTACAAATCCTTTCTTTCTTATTTCATTGTTTATTTGCGGATTTATAATTTGAATAACTGTCGAGTACACGTTAAAATTATACATTTCTCTTGTTACTTCAATTCTTCGTATCCTACAATATTATATGTACATTCCTCGTGCAGTAGAGCGAAACTCCTGATGTGTCTATCCTCTTTGCCTTGCAATGCCACTGAGATATTGTCTGGTACCTGCCTTTTTGTATGTATATATTTACCAAGCCGTCCTCGCCCCTAACTGACAATGAACTTGCTTTTTATTCTTGTGTACTTAATGATCTTACCAGAATGATGTTTTTGGTGATGTTGACCGTACGAAGTTACCGTGTTTAGCGTAATTAGTTTAAATAATAATCTTTGGTATAATGCTGGTAACCTGTTTCTAATCCCTGCAGCTGATGTTTTTCCTGAGCCGTGACTTACTCTGTATTTATGACTATGAAATAGTGTTGAATCACCAAGGTGGTTTGATCGCTAATTTCTTATAGCTTTAAGAATAATTCACTTCTACACAGAGGCCTAGCCTTAGTATAGCCTTAGAAACATAGGTTGTTCCATCAAATGCTTATCATTTTTAAGTACCAGAATTCTTTTTATTGTAGGTTTTATTTTGACAGAATCAATCGCGTTTCTCTTTCTTCTCTTGCTGAAAATTGAATTACCTTAAATTATTGAAAACAATGCTAACGTGTTCAACCGTTAAATATAGACGAGGAACAGCTCTTGCACCGGTTGTTTTCATGCTATTTATACATTCATGAGATGTAAACCAAAAAAATTTTAAATTTCTGTCTACCTACTGGTGGTAACTCAACTTGAAATACCTTTAGGCACGAACAGATTTGACAACTGTTGGTGTATCCATAGACAACTCATTATGTCAGTGCTCACTCTCGCTGGTTGTTCTTCTAATTTATTGTCTTTCGAATTGTTCTCTCTTCTGCTTGATGTTCACTCTACGCTTGTAATCTGGATGGCAATAGGCGAGTAAACATTGCTTACTCAGAGTGTTATTCTACTCAGTTGTATATAACTTTCAATTACTGCTCTGAAATTTCCAAAACCTCCATTTTTGCTCTGCTCACAGAACTGTTTAAATGGCAAATGATGCCGATTTTGTTTATAGAAAGCACGATTTGAGTCGTATTTATGATATAGTATGAATCTCATCTTGATTTTCTTAGCAATCATTGTTTTCAACAAGAATTTTTTGTTTGAATTAAAAACCCATAATGTCCTTGTTTGTAGGCTAATGAAAACCGTAGAAACATTATTGCTTTAATAATAATCGTGGCCAAAATGGTTTTAAAAACGCAGTGATGGTCGAGGAGTCGACGAGAGGAATATCCGACATTTGTAGAATGCAGTGAGCAATTTGGAATATATTTTGATTTTCTGCGTGTTTGTATCAATGACGATGGCGAAATAGCGCTATAGGATGCAATAAACTATAGCATAGACAATCCATTCACTATGATGATGAATTTCAGGTTATTTATGTACATATGTGCACAAGTAAGTGGATTGTATGCGTGCAGGTCGGCCATGATGGAGGGGTCAGGCACCCTGGAGCAGCAGCTGGAGGCGACGCGACTCAAGGCACTGCAGGTACGCGAGCATCGCTCCGACCTCAAGAAAATCGAGGACCTCGGACAGATCCTCGAGGAGCATCTCATTCTCGACAACAGATACACCGAGCACAGGTGATTATGTCGCGTCTAGACGAGGCACCGAGCACAGGTGATCATGTCGCGTCTAGACGAGGCACCGAGCACAGGTGATCATGTCGCGTCTAGACGAGGCACCGAGCACAGGTGATTATGTCGCGTCTAGACGAGGCACCGAGCACAGGTGATTATGTCGCGTCTAGACGAGGCACCGAGCACAGGTGACATTACCACGTCTAGACGAGGCACCGAGTACAGGTGACATTGCCACGTCTAGACGAGGCACCGAGCACAGGTGACATTACCACGTCTAGACGAGGCACCGAGCACAGGTGACATTGCCACGTCTAGACGAGGCACCGAGCACAGGTGACATTGCCACGTCTAGACGAGGCACCGAGCACAGGTGACATTGCCCCGTCTAGACGAGGCATAGTGCAGATCTTCCTCTTCGTTCTCTCTGAAGCTCCAATCTCAATTAAATGTTGTCGTTTCTCTTATGATTTGAAGATATAGTAGATGAAGATGCTCGTCATGCACTGTACAATCTTTGATGATTTTCAAATTTTTCCAACGTAACTACACCACAGTTAATAAGTTTATTTTGATCCAATTATATTTTGAAATCCTGGAAAAGTTGAATTATGTTATTGCTTTGGTTAAAATGCCTGATATTTTAACATGAATGACGATTTTTATTTTCTGTCGGGGTATGTGTTATCTCGCAACATAAATGGTGGGTAGCTAAGTAAATTTTGCAACGCCAGCTGAATTTTGCAATGTGAGTTCCATGTTGCTACCTGAGCTGAATATTGCAATTGCGCACAGCACGGTGGGGCTGGCGCAGCAGTGGGATCAGCTGGACCAGCTGGGCATGCGCATGCAGCACAACCTCGAGCAGCAGATCCAAGCCAGGAACCAGAGCGGCGTGTCAGAGGACGCGCTCAAGGAGTTCAGCATGATGTTCAAGGTGTGTTCAGGAGGTGTTCAGATGTTCGAGGTGTGTTCATGAGGTGTTCAAGGTGTGTTCAGATGTTCAAGGTGTGTTCAGGAGATGTTCAAGGTGTGTTCAGCATGATGTTCAAGGTGTGTTTAGGAGATGTTCAAGGTGTGTTCAGCATGATGTTCAAGGTGGGTTCAGGAGATGTTCAAGGTGTGTTCAGATGTTCAAGGTGTGTTCTTTAGGTGTTCAAGGTGTGTTCAATATGATGTTCTAAGTGTGTTAAGGTGATGTTCAGCATCAAATTTAAGGCGTGTCGAAAAAGTGTTTAGATGTTTTACATTGTTGGAGGTTTGTTGAGTGCCATGTTCTGAGAAGTGTATCCAATAGGGACATTATTCTTCGGGGTTTAAGGCGTTCATAGTTTTTTCAATTGCAGTTGATTACTTTCTGCATTAAAACCTTTGGGTCCCTGAAACATTCTTAGTACATTATTTTGATGGAAGTATATCTTTCGTTCTGTTTTATGAAAGGTTTTAATATTTATTCTTGAAATTGTTAATTGAGGAAAATTGTCCGTCACTTTTAATGGTAAGATCGTTGTGTCCCACACAGCATTTCGACAAGGAGAAATGCGGTCGTCTGAACCACACCGAGTTCAAGTCTTGCCTACGCGCTCTGGGCTACGACTTGCCAATGGTTGAGGACGGGGAACAAGACCCAGAGTTCGAGGCCATCTTGAATGTGGTGGACCCCAACAGGGACGGCTTTGTGTCCCTGCAGGAGTATATGGCCTTCATGATATCCAAGGAGACCGAGAATGTGCACAGTTCAGAGGATATCGAGAACGCCTTCCGAGCTATCGCTGCTGGCGACCGCCCATACGTCACCAAGGACGAACTTTACCAGGTCAGTCATTTGGAAGGTGAAGAATATTTTGAGTCAATCTGTTATCATTCATTGGGAGGACCGACGAACGTAGCCAGTCTACTTAATAATAATTTTCGATACTTGGATTCAGTAGAACTTTCTTTTTAGTCTCTTAGTGTGATTCGGAAGAGTACTTTTCTTCCGCTTTTTATTATTAACCTAAGAAATGTTGAAGAAATATTCATAACTTGTACTCACAGATTCCAATGATTAGAAAAATTTGGTACAGCAATTTAGAATTACACCTGCAAAACCGGACGAGGGAGATGGTGTAAAGTTTCTTTACACCATCCAAAAGATTTGTTTCTTTCTTGCAAATTATACGTATGTATTACATTGATGAAACATTCTTCAATTAATTTGATGATTTTCCGTTCAGAACCTGACGAAGGAGATGGCAGACTATTGCGCTGGTCGCATGAAGCCTTTCGTGGACCAGAAGACAGGACAAGTCATCCCTGGCGCGCTGGACTACATCGATTTTACTCGCACGCTTTTCTCCAATTAAAGGCTCTTGCTTATCCTCGTTCAGTGTTCGCCTGCGAAACTTTCAGCAGCTAGCCTCCTTCGAAATTCCTTCATGCCTCTACGTAGTAAACTTCAGCTTTCGAATATACTATATCCTATAGATGTACTTTAAGCCTTCGTTTTTTGTCGTTTTATCTAGAACGGTATCGAATGTAGTTTACGGAATACCTACTGTCTATTACATATTCATAGAATATTTAGTAAGGTACGGATGTTGTGGGAGCCTTGGACTCTTTAGTATTTATAACGGAGTTGATTCACCATAAATTCGACCGCTATTCTGATGATTATTTCGCGTTCCCTTGAATCTAGTACGTCATGAACCATATTTAATTTTTTCTGTGCGTTTGAGTCCAATCAATTCTAACTTTTGAAGAATTTAGATGTAATGTATTAGAATGTGATTGAGATTTTTTGCGTAGTGTTGGTTGCTTAAATCATAAAAACATATTCGTAGATCGTGTTCGAGTAAGGCCTGTATTTCAGTTGTGTGTTTTGTGTGCAAAACTCCTGTAAGTCCTGGCCTCGCTTATCGCTAATTTATCGGTCAATTTAAGCACTTTTTCGATTATTTTGGTTCAAAATTTATCTGCTTATAGCTCTACTACGATCTTCTTTATATAATTTAAGTCAAAACAAACATTTGACAGAAATCTACGAGAAATAGGTAAACCTTGACTAAATTTGACTCTACAACGTTGTTGTGCAATCTCTTACTTCTCCAAATATTTCATTTAGTATTTATGCAGATCAAATTATTTATCGCAAAAACTAGAACTTTGATCAATATTGATTATAATGAGATGTGATTATCGCCCGTATCTTCTTTATTTCGCTATTTATAGTTGTAATTCATCGACCATGAAAGGTTTACGTCTGCTTTGGGTCGTGCATGCGTTAATTAACTATCTCTTAATTCTTAAGCAATATATTTAATTTTCTCTAGTTGCTACATTCTTACTGGACGATGAAATGATTTGTTTTGTAGACGTCACTCAATGGTTTCGTGGAAATTAATCGTATTCGGATGCATTAGAATGCCTTTGGCTTATCACGTGTAACCTGTAGCACTTCGAGAAAATGTAGGTGTTTGTTTTCTGCCGCATTAGGACGTGAAAACCGACATCTTTTGATCTAGAGACCATTTTCACATTGTGTTAACAATTTTTTAATTGAATCGGAGAGTATAAAATTGGATAAACTGGTGCTTCGGCATCGTACTTGGACGGGCGTTACGGCCGCAGCTCTCTTCACATGATGAAATTTTCCTGTATTTAGATCTGCGACCATTTTTATACACTGGCTTAACGTCGTGCTATTTTTAACATCAAGTTATTGATTGCTGGAAAACTTGAATGTGTCTACGAAACATCTCATTACATCTTCATCACCACTGCCTTCTCGTGTTTATCGTTTACGTCGTTAGTTTGCTTCAGAGCTCTGGTGCCTGATGGGAATTAAATATATACGCGCAGCTTCCATGATTTTCACTGCCCTTTTTATAAATTAATTGTTTATGAACTGGATATTTTTTATTGACATGTCCTAAAAATGGGTGTTTTTAAAGTAATATGGTACTTTTTCATTTGAATTTCAACGGTATTTTTCAAGTTTTTCTGAACCTGAGGTGCTCATCCACACTTGATGTCGACTGCAGCTAGTGACCCAAATTCAGTCTATAATCTTGTGCGTCCTTACAAATTGTAATCTAGAAGACGTTTTGATGTTATTTGATCCCTCCTACTAACGCTCGGTCGGTATTAGCAGCGCTACTGATCGGTCGCAAAGCAGAGAGTCCCTCTATCGCGGTTGTTAACGTTCCAGACATCGGCCGCGATAGGGGAAATCTTTAATGTGGAATTTCTCGACTGAAAGTGCTCATTTGAGCATTTATATTTTATTTCAGTAAATTTTTATTATTTTAAGTGTTTAGAAACCTTACACTTTGTCTCGCTGCAGATTGCCTTACACGGGCTGTTTAAATCTGCCAATCAACTTCTCCGTAAACCTGCAAACCGACGAAGATCCGCGGATTAATAAAGGACTCTGCTGATTGTTATTTCTCAAAATAGTGACCTTTATTAATTTATGATTCTTATTTTTATTTCTTAAAGTTTTTTTTTTTAATTTGCGATTCTTCTCATTATATTTCTCAAAAGCCCGCGATGAAATCAAGGTGATCGGCGATGTAGCGAGGGATTTCCACATTCGGATGCGACTCAGCTAATTGCTAACTAGCTTAATACTACTTTTAAATAGTGAAAATCAATTCAAAGCAAGGGTTCCCGTGTAAGAATTAAGCAAAACATCAATTGAGAGGAATATGAAACCCCGTACTCGAGAGACGAGGAAGCCTTGAAAAGATACGATCCCGGATAATTCTTTGGCAGGATTTGCGACCGGTTTCCAAAATTCGGCGAACATGAAATATCGCCCAAACTTGAGAATACAGTTCGATGAAACTTTGTGCATGCGTTCATTAGAACCGAAAGGTCATAGATTAGAATAGAAGTGCCGGCACTTAAGAAATACGGCCGTAGTCGCGATTTTTTTGCAATTTCGCCTTCATTTCCAACTTATACGGTCATACGAAATAACATTTCCAGTGAACATAAAATAGTGTAAAAACTACTTCGATTCGAACTTAACCTTGAATATACATTACTAATTGCCTAAAGGTGGTGTTTCGGTCGTGCAAACTTTTCAACGTTTATGTATTAGATTCCGCGTATATAGCCTAGTACGTCGAAAACGAAGGCGAAAACGCGATTTAAAATATTACGATTGGAACAGCACCGTTAGGTCCTAATGAATGCATATGCAAAGTTTCGTGGAGCTACTTCCATCAGTATGGAAGATATTTCGTGTTCACTGCAAATTTAACAATCAGCCGTAAAAATGCATGTTGTCTCCCCGCATAGCCAAATAACTCGCGAATGAAGCCTTAGTTGAAAATTTTTGCACGACCTGAACATAACCGTTAGGAGATGTCGAGATTTCAGGTACTTGGCACAACCCAAACTATTTCATATTTACGGCGAATTTTTTTTTCTCGTATGACCGTATGAATTAACAACGAAAAATTAAAAAATAAACAAGTCATAACATGACCTTTCCGTTATATTGAACGCATCTTCAAAGTTATATAAGCTGCGTTCATTAGTTTGGGAGATATTATTGTTGAACCGGTGAATGTTACCGGTGAATGCTCGTCCGGAGAATGGTCAGAGAGGCTGAAATGAATATAATGATCGTTTGTCCTGTGTCTGCCATGGCTCCTGCAACACTTTTTCGACGCAAGTATGTTGTATGTATGTTGTATTAGCAAAATTCGGAGTTGATGAAATCACAAAGATTCAGAATTTGTTACGGGAATTCACTTCAATTTTTTCTTCCACATTGCCGTCGTCTGAACTATTTTAAAATATCAATTGATGATGCTAATCAATGTGCGTTTACACTACAGTAAACCCAGTTCTCATACCACAATAGTAACTAATTCAAATAACGTATTTCATTTCCGTGGGAATATTTAATTTAAAAATTGGTTGCGAACGTGGGTGCCTCCACCTCAGAAATTGTTGAGCAATGGATTCATCAAGACTGATGTCTCCGATTGACTAGGTGGACACTCCTAGTGCCCATTTCTGAAGGCTGCTTGGGAGATGAATCAAACGGAGGCGGAGCGTCAACTTGACCGTGGACTACGAAGTCCTAATCTCATCATTAAGTCATAAGGAGCTACAGTACCAAGTAGAGCATACATTACTCCAATGATACGGAGCCGATCTATTTCTAATGAGAAACTCGATCAAGGTCTCGATCTGTGCCTATAAGATGGGTAAATTCTCTACGAGATAATGCGAATTTATTAATCCTAGGATGTAATGGTGATAAAAGCATTGCTCTCCGATCGTTTCATGAAAAATTAGTTGATTCAAAAACTTTACGTTTTCGGCTTCCTATTTTAGGAAATCGAAAATAAATATTAAGGGTGAAGTGAGTCGGTTTCTCACTCGGCCAATTGAAGTTTGTTAGATTTGGCATTTTAGCTATATAATTTATTTTATACGTGAGTTCATAGACATAATTTTTTATATATGGAAATATCAATTTTCTAGTTCCGTCTCAACATACTATTTTCAATGCATATTGTTTTCATAAAATTTTGAAAAAGACACACTTCCGCTGAAAATCAAAAGTTCCGAACTTGCTATCTAACTCACTAAAGTGTATAAGGGTTCGTGTCACGAAAATAAATAAAAATATTTCATCCTATGTTATCTGTTGTAATATCTCGAACGAATGAGAAATTTTTCAAGAACATGTCCGAGGTTTCTTGGCAGCACGGTCTTCCGTGTGACTGTAATGCCATAACCTCTATCTTCGCCACCTGCCCTCGCACAATGGACCAATTTCCTCAACCACCAACTTTTTAGGGACAGAATTAACTTTGCTGCCGCGGACAAAAGTGTGAAGCTGAAGTTCCGACGGCACTGGAGATATTTCGGTTCGGCTGACACGTTGCGGCCAGCGCGATATTCAGGAACATGTCATGAGAAGAGTGTTGCAATAACCTTATTGCAGACGATGAATGGATGTTACTTCAGGAACATGTCATGAGAAGAGTGTTGCAATAACCTTATTGCAGACGATGAATGGATGTTACTTATGGAACATGTCATGAGATGAGTGTTATTATAATATTATTGCAGATGATGAATGGATGTTACTTCAGGAACATGTCATGAGAAGAGTGTTGCAATAATCTTATTGCAGACGATGAATGGATGTTACTTATGGAACATGTCATGAGATGAGTGTTGCAATAACCTTATTGCAGATGATGAATGGATGTTACTTTAGGAATATGTCATGAGAAGAGTGTTGCAATAATCTTATTGCAGACGATGAATGGATGTTACTTCATGAAAATGTCAATAAAGAAGGTCAAAGTGATCCCAAAGTAAATAAAGAATCGATGTTATTTCAAGAACATGTTAACAGAAGAGCGTTATATAAAATGACCCTATTGCAAATGATGGATGGATATCATTTTAAGAACATGTATATAAAACAGTGTTTGATAGCCGTATTGCAAATGATAAATGGATATTGCCTAAGATTATCCCAAGAGAAAAGTGTTATGATAGCCATATGTCAAACGAAGACTTGAATAATTGTGGTCATGCGAGGATTGATTGGCGGTGGTTCATGCATTGATATTTCTAAATCGCGTTAATTAATCGTCCATTTGAGTGTGAAGAATTAAGTGACGGTATTCGGATTTATTTTTTTGCGATTTGCGAATGAACTATTTGTGAATTTTAATTAGACCAGGAAGTGCCAGAATATAACTTCGCTAACTCCGAATTTCAAATTTTATTTAGCCACCAAGCATTTCATTTGCTGATCATAAGCCTATATAAAGACAGCGTTGTCAGCCTAATTTTGATTGTTGCAGACATAGAGATATGCATTGGTGGGTTACAACAACATATGTGAAAATCATCAGCACGATTGTTTCCAAAACGGTATTGAAGTTTATTCAAATGATACTATTAACCTTACGATGGAATATTTAATAGTGATTGAATTCGCAGAATAATTTTCGTGAATGAAATTTTGCTGATTTTTACGTCGTGTTCACGTTTTTTTTCATCTTAATTTATCAAGTCATTAACCATTAGTCAATTCGCATATCAGCTGCCATTTTAATGTGTGACTAGCACCGCCATTTTGCAGGACCAGAAATGGTGCATATGTTATCACACAAATCCTGCACCCCTTGCTGACGTTATCGAATTTGCTACGGCAAATTTTGCCTCGAAATTGCCTCTAGGGATATTTTGGGTGACGTCGAAATGGGATATTTTGGGTGACGTCGAAATGGGATATTTTGGGTGACGTCGAAATGGGATATTTTGGGTGACGTCGAAATGGGACGCTGTCTATACGCTTTGCTCGTCCCCTCGTCTGCTGACATGCTTGAGTGCTATTTCTAAGGAGAAATATGAAGATAATATAGCATACATCTTTGAAAAATTAGGCATCTTGCTTTATCCTTTCAGCACGAACGAAATTAATAATGAGATAATTGAACTCAGAATTGTGGATATTCCAGCTCACGACTTCCTTTATTGTACGTTTATGATAAGGGTTCTGAATTAATTTGAGCTCAAAGCATTCTCATCACACTATACTTTTTTCACGATTACAATTAGACCCGGGAAATTTTCCTAGCCTTAGTTATTATTTATAAGAAGAACCCCCGGTTTATATTTTTAATTAATTAATTAACCGGGACCTACTTCATCTGAAACCTCATTGTTCGTTTAGCTTAATATAAAATGCGTACCCATATATAAATGAACAATTCTAAGTCAATGCAAAATTGATTTGATTACAAATAATATCATGATGTTTCCTACATATGACGCGATTGAATTAAATTCGGTTGTGTAAAACGAAAAGAAATG